GTTAGTATTTTGTCAAGTCACCATGGGCAGCAATGCAGGCTTCAATGCGGCGGGGCATACTACTGATCAAAGAAGTTAGAAAGTCGTGGTCCATGCTGTCCCATTATCGGACCACCCCTTCTTTCATTTCAGCAATATTTGTCAGATTTTTCTTATTGACACTTTCCTTCATAAGTCCCCAAACATTTTCTATTGGATTTAGGTCAGGGCTATAGCTTGGCCAATCTAATAATGTCATATTTTGGGTCCGAAACCAGGCCTGTGAATGCTTTGAACGATGTTTTGGGTCGTTGTCCTGCTGGAAAATCAAAACATTTCCATAGAACACGTGAGCAGATGGAAGTAAATGTCCCTCGAGAATATCTGTGTACCGCTCACTGTTCATATTCCCTTCAAATACACAGAGGGGCGTTGCCCCTAACACAGATATGCCACCCCACACGTTAAATTTCGGACTGTACTTTGGGCGCTGATACAAAGGTTTTCAGTTTGTTTGGTCCAGAATTTCAGTGTATTAGGAAACAGCCACACAGAACTTTCATCTGAGAAAATCACATTGTCCCAGTTAAAATTTCTATGCTGTAAGCACCAGTTCAACCTTCGCTCCTTTTGTTCAGGTTTCATGATCGGTGATGGAATTCCTCGACTTTTCTGCCAACCCATTGCATGCAGCTCAGTTCTAATTGTCTCCTTACAGACAGCCACAGTTCCTCTATCAATCATATCCAGCCTTAAGTTTTCTAAACTCCTTCGTTTGTTTTTAGAAACAAAAATATCAAGCCGCCTCCTGTCACCGGACAGTCAATTTTCTGGGCCTACCTGCGCCTCCCTGGTGCTCAGTGCCATATCCATTTGCAATATGTTTCAAAACACGATTAACAGTGGACAAAAGGATGGCTGTTTTACTTGAAATCACTTTAGCTGCTCTGATGTCCTTGTTATAATACTCTAGAATCAACTTCCTCTTTTCTCTAAATCATCCATTCACTGAAAATGTCGTCTGCTAGCAGGTAAACAAAGGGGGATAACTCTTCACAAACTAATGAAAAGGGATGAACGGAGTTGTCTCTCTCGAATGAAACCAAGCACTTGATAGCTGGTCAAGGTTGTTCATACTAGAAATCCAATTAAACATATTCCTAAAATTCTCAATAATTTCTGGTCATACTATATAATATACACATATTATTTTATCAACGTCAAAATGGCTGAAACTATGCCGATGTGACGTTAAATATTACCTCACTCACTTACTACCACAGAGTCATCACAGCATAATACAACTTTCTCCGGATCTTCCCCAACATCATCCATTGACCGAACCAATTTTCCACTGCCAATATCCCAGACTGTCACAGACCTGTCATAAGCGCCTGGGAATACAAGATGCACAATCCGCCATTGCAGTAAATGTGTTTGTTTCGTTTGTTGGTTGTTTAACGCCGGATTGGGTAATATTCCAGCTATGTGGCGGTGGTCTGTAAATAATCGAGTCTGGACCAGACAATCCAGTGAACAACAATATGAGCATCGATCTGCAATTTGGATACGGTGACATGTGTCAACCAAATCGAAGTGCCTGAGCACCCGATCCCGTTAGTCGCCGCTTACGCTAAGCATGAGTTGCTAAAGATCAATTCTCCACACTAAAGATAAATGACAGAACCAACAACACTAGACATGTTTCTCTTTAAGTTTGATTATCTACTTATCGAAATAACATCATATTAGATCTATTGTGTGTGTGTTGTCTTTGTTTTCCTAAACAAAAAGTGGTTGCCTGATGTTTTAATCAGTTTCACTAACATACCTCAATACAATTAATACATATTTGTGCATGGTAAATATCTTACAGTAAAACCTTTGGTGCAACATGCCTACTTATATTAATGAAAACTCAACTTCAATAATGTAGACCTTATTTCATGGTCCAAGTCGCCCTAATACTATACTACCATTCGAAATGACAAGGGGTGGTGGGGTAGCCTTGTGGTTAAAGCGTTCGCTTGTCCCGCCGAAGACCCGTGTTCGACTCCCCACATGGGTAGAATGTGTGAAGCCCATTTCTGGTGTTCCCCGCCGCGATATTGCTGGAGTATTGCTAAAAGCGGCGTAAAACCATACACACTCACTCGAAATGACAAAAGAGTGCGAAGCGTCAGTAAAATGGTTGAAACACGTCAGCTCATACTGCATTACGTAATCGTTGTCATAGCAGTTGTAGGATTTGAAAAACATTAGCCACACAGTATTTCAATATGTAATGTTCCGAAGTAAAAAAATTACCAATATTTTATCAATGTCCAAATACCATTAGTTTAAGGAATTAGTGCTACCAGTATTCTTCTAAAAACTGTGCAGTTTATTAAGCATGACCTCCTGATCAGATCAAAAGTGTGTAAATAATGTATAACATGTAGATTTTTTTGCCGAAAATGAAACTTTTTATCATATGATTGAACATGGGCCGATGGCCTACTTCCAGGAATAAACTCATTCTATTCTATTTGTTCCTGCAAGAAAAAACTAAATACAGATAGGATTCTACATCATAATGAGAAACGTTTACTCAGTCAAGCGAAAACTGCAAGTCAGATTTATAATTTAGAATATTCAGGGACCGTTCATAATTTATGGTTAGCGGGGATGATGATTTTAATAGGGGGTCACCCATTTTGTTCTGGGGAAGTAGGGGTGGTCAGCAATTTTGTACACATGTACTGGGGTGGGGGTTGGGGTTGGGGGTGTCAGCAATTTTAAACAGACATATTAGAGAATTATGCTTAAAAAGTATGGGAAGGGGGAGGGGGGTCACTGATTTTGTACATGACATGAAGGGGGGTCACTTACTTTGTACATACATTTTAGGGGGGGTCACATTGGGAGCACCTTTAGAATACAGCACCACAACTTATCGTGATGACGATCTCTGCCATAGGTCACGTGTCATTAAGACAAGCAAATTTATCGAGTCATTCCTGTGACGTCACGGAAATGAACGGAAAGAGTCGAATAGGTCACGGACAATTACGAATGCTACGGGTAGACTTGGTGTCATGCGATTTTATTCTACGGACAGTTGCCGAATGGATCCGATGCCATTTGGCACACTCGTCCCATTCCGTAATCTACAAATTAACGTGTGGCGTGGAATGAGCCGATATGCCTCAAACGGAAAAGGGTTGTTGACGTCAGGCGTCAGACGTAGATTTCACGGTGTATGCATGAATGACGCGCTTTTATATAAATCTGTGATTTTGTGACAGAAAAGTGATGTAGGGAACACTGTAAGGATAATGTGGATCGCAATAAGGAACGAGGGAGACATGAGCATGTGTAGTGACGGCACGAGGGTGAGTTAGCCTTCGGATCCTTACTTTACAAAATTTATGTTGCGTGTGAAAGAGGCTTCAGTGCAAATTCCAGGCCAATTTCCATTAGCCCAAAATTTCTACATTAACCCATTTCATAATGTACTTTCGACGTTTTTGGTTTCCCGTTTTTGTGTGAAAAAAAAGTATTAAAATGCAAAAAAGAAAAACAACAAATGGTACTCACGTATTACACCGGACATGTACCTACTATATTGGATTAGGTCCCTAACCCTAACCCTAACCCTAAACCCTAAACCCTCAGCCCTAACCCTAACCCCCTTGAAATAATCCTAATAAATAGAATGCATTGACCGAACCACCGGACATGTACCTACTATATTGCATTAGATCCCCAACCCCAACCCCAACCCTAACCCTAACCCTAACCCTAAACCCTAACCCTAAACCCTAAACCCTAATCCTAGCACTAGCCCCAGCCCTATACCTAATCCCTTGAATGAATCCTAATAAATAGAATGCATTGACAGAACCGGCACAAACACGACTGGCGTGTCTAGTGTAATGCATTATTACCGCTTCGAAATAAAAAATACTAATAAAACACTTTTCTATGTAATGGTGCAACTTACTGAATGACAAATATATATATGTAAATTCAAAAAATTACAAAATACAAAATACACAACACTTAACACCCCAGCAGCCTGTAATACAAATAAATATGAGCGGATTAGTGAAAAAAGAAAAAATATTTCAAACTGGTGCTTGCAAAATATTGCGCATCCGCCGGTATACAACTACTGGAAAATCTCAACATCGTTGGCCTTATGCAATGACATAGCTCGTAGAGATGAAACACCAGTGAGCGGAGCTTATACGCACTCGCTGAGCCAGACAACCGTGTTGCCATGCAGGCGTCATAGGGCATTGTTTCGAGATCGTGCTTTCGAACAAAATCACATTACGTAAAAGGGTATTATGACGTATTTTTAAAGTTTGTGGTGCTGTATTCTAAAGGTAGGCCGAAAAATGTATAATTGTCCTCCGTTTTATGAGTACATATTATAAAAGACCTTACAAATATTTTTCTAGTTACTTGACCATATGAACAAGGTGATATATAATTATACACCTCTGATAGTCTGAGTATGCAACGCTAAAACAGGGGCCACTTTTTGTCGGAAGACAGTTTGTTTGGACCCGGAAATGATAATGGGCAGATAACTCTAATTTCACCCCGGGGCAATGTCAAATATTTATGTAACATTGGACTCCAGGTCTGTGGAAGGCTGTTCTGGTGAATATTTTTTGTTATAACCCAAATTTCCATACATTGCATGGCATGCTGACAATTAAAGTCGTGACTGAGACAAAGAGTAGTCAATATTACAAGAACCGTGTTTACAAACATGTATGACACGGCAATTTTTACCGGTACGAACGGCCATGCTCACTGAGCATTCTGACAGTCTGAAGCCTTTCATCGTTCATGAGTTGTTATATTTGAGATTTAGACCACTGATTTTTTCAGTCCAGTCGTATAAAATTGAGCTTGGTCAGAATAAATACATACAACAATAATGTTCTCTGATGAAACTTCACAAGTCGCTGGAAGGTTCTATCCAGAGGTCATTGGTCAAAAACTGGGAACACATAGTCTGTTCAGACCCAGTGAATCCGATCAGAAAATGATGAAACGTTTCCTATTCTTAGAATATGATCATTCTGCACGTCAGCATTAAAGATCCCATTTTGAAAACAGCCGTTGTCTTTGAAGGTAGGTCGTGTACATGCAGCTTATAAAATTCTATCAAACTGATTTTAAGATCCATATATTATCGATGTCAGGTATTTCACGCAGGGGTCAAAGCCCTCAGTAAACGTCAACCGGTAGACATCACAAGCCAGTTAGCCTGTAGACTATATGAATGAAATATTGCCAATGCTGAATTGTATATGAGAGTTCAGTAAGTGGACCAATTGCTAGTTCCATTCAGGTACATAAGGCATTTAAAGTGTGAATTTTTAAGAAATTTGTTTCTCATAAAACTTAGCATGGATAGAATACAGAGTACCATTGTTAAGTGCTGTTTAGGGTGCCTGTTATATCTGGTCAGTGCCTCGGACAATGTAGCATTTAAATTTGGGACACCTGTCTGTGAGTTATAAGCTTTTTTCTATTTTTTAATTTTAAGATTAGTGTTGTGTAAATACTAATTTGGTCTGATTAGTTATTTGTAAATGTTTGCTTCATATCTACCCCCAGTCAGTCCCATGTAAGATGTACATAAGGTTTACATGGCATCCAACGTGTTCACTCAAATATTTAGGTAAATGATGAAGAGTAATTGATGATGTTAATGGATTTTTTGTTTGTTAAGCAGTGTTTGCGTTAATGCAAAAACCTGTGTTTTTCGTGCAAATAAAATCTACATTTCACACACGATATTTTCTACCTGCATGTTCTGCATGCAAATCATTTTGTGTTCTGGAAACAAGTAACCGAAAAACGTATTTCCCCCAGTAAACAACAAAATAAAATAAAGTTTCTCCTGCTAATATTACTTGCCAGGGTTCGAAATACCCCATATATTAGTGTGCCATGGCACGGTAAATATTGAAATGACACTGTTGAAAGATGTTCTCTGTGCCCTTTTCGACACGCCTAATTTTCTGGAGACATAGCTCACATTTAGTCATTTAATCCCCCAAACAATTATTTTTTACCAAACTGAATAATACCATACATATTTGAACGTTCATAAACCCATTTCTTTATTTAACACTAAATTTCAAATGATTATCATCATTGTCATTTATTCTAAAAACATGTGGGCATACTTGATTTCTGAAAGGCACACCTAAAATATTTGTCTGGTGCCCTAAGGCACACTTAGAAAAAAAAGTATTTCTATCCCTTATTACGAATGATGATAACATGCTCTGAAATACAAAGAAATGATGTCTAAATTTCAAAATTTTACGCGGAGACCCTATACCCTTCTAGAGACCTCGCTGCTTTCTGGCTCGGGCATACACCTGTGCTCGGGCATGTACACGCAAGATTCTTGGGGCTATGTGTTTCAGGAACGCAAAGCTTTTTTTACATACCGCGAACACTGGTTAAGTGAGCTTTGGTTCTTCAGATGGTAATAGGTTATCTGAGTAATATGTGATCTTTAATGTTTGTTTCATCTATCCCAAGGCAGTGCCATGAAAGCTACGCAATAGGTTTAAGTAAATGATTGGTAAGACCAATTACATAATGTAGGTTGTGTATGTTTGATTAGCTTTAGGTAGTTAGATTACATAGGTGTGAGGAATCCCTCTCAATCTGTCTTATTCTACATGTTATGTTAATAGGTTAGGTTCATAATAATTGAAGGAATGTACCATTTTGCTGAGTAGATAGATGAGCCTGACAATAGTGATGCTTAACAGCACTTATGTAAACAGTCAGTGTACCAATTACAATAGATAATGATTATGTAAAATTAGTTTTGTTTATAAATCACAACATGATACAGAGATAACTACAGCATACAGGGACGATAGGGTAGCCTAGTGGTTAAAGCATTTGCTCGTCACGCCGAAGACCCAATTCGATTCTCCACATGGGTGCAGTGTGTGAAACCCACTTCTGGTGTCCCCCGCCGTGATATTGCTGGAATATTGCTACAAACAGCGTAAAACCCAACTCACTCACTACAGGACTGACTGACTGAGTTTGGTTTTACGCCGCTTTTAGCAATATTCCAGCAACATCACGGCGGGGGACACCAGAAATGGGCTTCACACATTGTACCCATGTGGGGATTCGAACCCGGGTCTTCGGCGTGACGAGCCAACGCTTTAACCATTAGGCTACCCCACCGTCCCCTCACTACAGGAAAGCAAGGTATAAACTAACTATGTATAGCGCGGTACCAGGGTCCCTGTAGGTTCAACAGTGGATACTGTCAGTGTTAATCACTACGTTGTTTTTGTTGATGTGAACTTCGATTCCCTTAAGCAGTAACAGGTGACCTGGGTATATGTGATCCTTGTTTTGGATTGTATTTGTAATGTGTCTGTAATGGATCTGTAATGTGTCTGATGCATTCTGAGGATGCAGAAAAAACTGCATCCTATACAGGTGACACTGAGTGCTATGAGGTGAAATGAAAAGTCTGTTTTGATAATGAGACTGACACCTACACTGAATATATCAGTGATTGAGTGAGTATTGTTTTACGCCGCTTTTAGCAATATTCCAGCAATATCACGGCGGGGGACACCAGAAATGGGCTTCACACATTGTACCCATGTGTGGAATTGAACCTGGGTCTTCAGCGTGATGAGCAAATGCCTTAGCCACTAGGCTACCCCACCGTCCCCAGAATATATTATAATCAGATAAACGCCATGTAAAATATGAGTGCACTTTAGACAGTATTTTGTTGATGTTTTCGCTTTGGGACCCCTTGACACAGTGACAGATAACCTATAAGGTCAGCATATAGGACTATTTATCTGTACTTCTTTACATTGCTGTAAATAGCTGTCAGTGTTATCACTTGTGCGAGGTAACATAGTGATATCATGTCTGCGGTTGTCTGTAGATAATTACAAGCCAAGCAAATGAGCCATGCAGTATTGAATGTAGCAAAAGTATACTTGATAATTCATAAATAATTGTTCAAAAAAAAGAATATGGCTTAATGTGTATAGGAAGGTTATGTTGATTGACATAGTATTTGTATAGTGGTTCATTCTGTTTCATAATCCATCAGTCTTACCAATTACTGACCTACTGTGGACAGTGTTAAGTGTTTGTGGAACTATTAAAATATTTGGTTATTCAGTTTTTTATTGCTCAAAATTATTGTTTATTATTCTATTGGATTTGAAATTTGCTACAAATCTTACAAGCTAAGTTGGTGAATAAGGAACCGTTCATAATTTATGGCTAGGGGTGATGATGATTTTAAGGGCGGGTCACCCAGTAATTTTGTGCATATATAGATATTTTAAAATTAATATTGCTCAGAAAGTATGGGGTGGGGTGGGTGTCATTGAGTTTGTACATGACATGCCGATGGGCCACGTATTTTGTACATAGATTTTAGGGGGGTCATGCGTCTCCATAAAAATCATCATCAACACCCCCCACCCCAGCCATAAATTATGAACGGTCCATAATTGTGATCAGTTTCACTTCTTTGAGAGGCATTCAAACGTTGGAGCAGTAAAGAAGGATAACATTATATGAATGAACAACGTTTTTATTACACAGCATTAGAACCTACACTGAAACGTCACTTTCACTGTAACAAAGAAGTTCTTCATCCATATATTGTTATCCTTCCTCTGCGATCAGTTTGATGGTAACCTGGCAATAAAAATATAAGTTGTTCTGTTATTTCTTAATTTTTATCACATTTCGAATGGAATTTGTGAGACACATGTATCTGTCTGTTTTGATTATGATTATTGATAAAATGCACATGTGATATGAACATGACATTTATTGGAGTGAAGTCTTCCTTCACTGTTGTGTTTATCATATTACAGAAGTTAACATCCTTATAATCACAATGTCACCCATTTTCAAAAATATTTTGGCCTATGTTATATATATTGGGGCATATGCACTCACTTTAGCTTCCTATTGATGCTCGTAAGAGGCGACTGACGAAATCGGGTGGTCAGGCTCGCTGACTGGGCTCACACATGTCATCGTGTCCCAGTTGCGTAGATCGATGCTCATGCTGTTGATGCCTGGATTGTCTGGTCCACACACGATTATTTACAGACCGCAGCCATATAGCTGGAATATTGCTGAGTGCGGCGTAAAACTCAACTCCCACACTCACTCCTATCGCTGCAATAAAAAACTTATTATCCCTTACAACTTGAAATCCAAATTGAAACTTCGAGGCAAACAGCTTCCAAACAGAGAACACTTGCCATATATAGAATGTAAACAATTGCTCCGTGCATCAAAAACTGTCGCATGTGGTGTTGTCGATGTTTGCCGAACTGGTTTCGATCACAAGTTGTGCAGGATATTTGTGAAGAGCCATCCAAAGGATATAACTGTATGGGGTTCGCTTGAAATAATGTTCGGCCGGTAGAGGGCATGATAGTCGATTTAATGCAATGTTGCATTAATTCATTCAGACTTTTTAATATAATATTGTAATCTAAATACATAATTTTGGGGGAATAAAATATATAGTAGCTTCCCTGAGGGCTGATAGTTAGTATTATAGAGAGAAATACATTTTGTATGAGAGAACTGTGGTGTGATATAGTGCCTTTAAATGGTCACCCTTTATGTGTATCTCTTGTAAATACCATTCAAAGATGTTCTTGAAAGGCATTTAGAAGTTGGACAAACATGAATACATGGATAACAGCTTTATTTTTTCTTTACATGATGTAAATTCGCAGATGATGATGACATATGCGTGATCAAGGAGCAAGAATTAGCTCTGAAACGTCCTGTAAATAATAAGCATGTCATGTATTCACCATTTAAAGACATTTATAGCATGTCTAGAAGAACATAGCACATACAAATTTACACAGGGAATAAATAATGCCAATACCTTGTCATAAACAAACCATAAATGATCAAATTTCCTTTAATTAACAGAACAGCTGCTATTTACTTACCGGGGTACCCCGAAGTTGACAGTGTAGCCCAGTGATTACAGTGTCCTATAGAAACATGCAGAGACCTTGGTTCTGTACTCCATATTGATGATTAGAGGATGTAAACTGTATGCGAGACGGTCCTTCATTGTGCATGCTAATACCAATTGCGTAGATCGATGCTCATGCTGTTGATCACTGGATTGTCTGGTCCAGTCTCGATTATTTACAGACCGCCGCCATATGGATGGAATATTGCTAAGTGTGGCGTAAAACTCACTTACTCACTCACTCCACTATCATAATATACTGAAAGAAACAAATAAAGGAACACAGGAACATTCAAGCGTTCCTTTCATATTTTCCCTATTTTCATCACCAGCTTTGAATAGTGCTGTGGGAGGAAATCTGAGAAATAAGTAAAGGAACTCGGCCTTGAAGTTCCGTTCCCTTATTTGTTTCCCTTAGTTTATTATGACTAAGAATCTGGCTATTATTTTTTGTATTATTTATATAGTATTGCATTGATACATCAAGTAATCATACAATGTGAATTGCTAAGATGGCTTCAAAACCTAACTTCTTAATTTACTTCAGGTATCTGTAAGAAAAAGGTCACAGAGAAAGAGTTCTAATCCAAGACTATAGCCTCATCCATCCACCCACCAGCATGACAGACGAGACAGGCACATCGGTGAACAACCCCGATTACAGTCCCAAGAAAACCCTGATTCCAAACAGTGACATCGAGGTCGTTGTTATATCCGAGACCGACGCCAAGGTCACTTACCGAACATGGTACACACTGCCAACACTCCGGTTCATCAACGTGGTCCAAGCTATGGTCTTAGTGGATGCAGTGCTGTCCATTATTCTATGGTTGACAGGTAAATAATGGGGGACATTATTACATGCACATTGTCTCAGGAGCAACATCAGCAGAGTTGTGAAGCTCATTTCTGGTGTGCCCTGCCGTGATATTGCTGGAATATTGCTAAAATCGGTGTAAAACCATACTCACTCATTCACTCACTGCAGAGTTGTTCCCCTTAGATAATTAATGATCCTATGATTGCGGGTTTGAATCCGAGTCACTATACCCATGTACATGGATTCAAGTTGTAGTATGGAAAATTGAATACAAATTCATAATAATAGTTTATGCCTAAAAAGGATGAGAAAATGCTTCTGAAAATGGTTTCTGACCAAGCTGAATCTTTGTTTACCAAGTACTTAAAGGCTAGACAAATTTAGTTACCAAATTCTTGGTCAGGATGATGTAGTGCCCCCAAAAAATATAAATAAAGAAAGAGTTCTTCTGCCAATCATATATTAGACAATTCAGATTTATCTGGTTACCTGATTCAAATATATTCATTTAAGACAAGAAAGATACAGCTGGACACAAAATTCCTTTGATTGTTTGTGGCAAATTATTGTCTTTTTAATTTTCAGGGGGAACATCTAGTTACTTTGTTGACAACATTCTAACCTTTCATCTGAGACAGTCAGTGTTTGACCTTGCCATTATTGCCGCTTGTAAAGCCTTGTTCCTGATCCCGTTCTACAGTCTTCTAGAAGAATCATTTTATCATCAGATTCAGCACCCATTCCAGCAGAAATTCCGCAGAAATGCACGAGTGTTTCATGCATTGGTTGTGTTCCTCTCCTTCACATTCCTGGCGTTCTCGGCCACCAAAGGAGGACTTGTATTGTATTCCTTCCTGGAAGACCCCTCCTACCCCGGAATGCACCCCACATACTACGCCCTCGTGATCAGCGCCGGTTGTTTCAGTCTGTTTGAATTCTTCATGAGTCTGTGGAGTTTTGTGGCCTTGCGGAAGCTGGAGTCAATCCGTGTACGCCACAGAGTCAACGAAAAGGGGGAGGAGCTGGATGAAGAGGGGAAGCCGATTGAGAAATCTGTGGACCTGAAACGACTGGTCATATTAGCGAAACCAGTAAGTATCTTTATTGCTAACGTATGTCATGATTTGATCAGACCATTGCCTTTACTTGTTATAAAGGATCAGAGATGAATTGTCATTGTTATGGACACCTTGATATTTTGAGCTTACATCATGTGAAAGGAATCAGATACAATATATTTGAACTTATTGTTATCATACTATTGTTGTTCCCCGCTGCAACGTGGAACGGGGGACTATGTATTCAGCAGCGTCCGTCCGTACATACGTCCCGATTCTTGTTAACGCAATATCTCATGAACTGTTGTACCCAATGTCTTCAAATTTGGTGACAGCCTACATTGGGCGATTACGCAGACACCAGTCGATTTGGGTGACCTTGACCTTATTTTCAAGGTCACCACGACACTTTGACCACTTTTCAAACTCTTGTTAGCGTGATATCTCATGAACTGTTGTACCAAATGTCTTGAAATTTGGTGACAGCCTACAATAGCGGATTACGCAGACACCAGTTTATTTTGGTGACCTTGACCTTATTTTCAAGGTCACCATGACACTTTGCACGCTTTAACCCTTGTAAACGCGGTATTTCATGGACTGTTGTACCCAATGTCTTCAAATTTGGTGACAGTTTACATTGGGGGATATCACAGACACCAGTATATTTAGGTGACCTTGACCTTATTTTCAAGATCACCAAGACACTTTGAACACTTTTCAAACTCTTCTTAACACGGCATCTCATGGACTGTTGTACCCAATGTCCTCAAATTTGGTGACAGCCTACATTGGGTGATTATGCAGACACCAGTCATTTCAGGCATCTTGTATGTGACCCAAAAATAAAAAGTAGTAAATATAGATATTCCATTGTTTAGCGGCAGGGGACATTGCCACATCAGTGGCAAACACTTGTTATTGTTGTTATATGCATCATAATACGTTGAGCGTACACCAGGTGAAAGGGAAAGGCGTTACTTATTATTATTATTATAACTAAATATGTCAGTATGTTAATCTGTCGCCTGGTGAATGGAATCAGGAGCATTAAATATGAAGATATTTTAAATTAGAACAAGAAATATGAATGAATCGTGTGGAGCCATCACTTGCTGGCCTGTATTTCAGAGGGAGTGATGGGATTAACCTAGTGTTTAAAGCATCCGCTCGTCCCACCAAAGAACGTGGTTCAATTCTCCACATGGGTACAATGTGTCAACCCCATTTCTGGTGTCCCCTGCCGTGATATTGCTGGAATATTGCTAAAAGCGGCGTAAAACTAAACTCACTCACTGTATTTCAGGAAGCCGTACTCCTGGTAGTTGGAACCCTAGGTCTGCTGGGGTCCAGCGTAGCCACTATGTTTGGACCCTTGTTCTTTGGGAAAGTGGTCGATGCTGCCCAAAGGAGTCTTGGTAAGTGTTGATCTGCTGACATTTTGAGGCAACAGAATCTCCTCCTGAGACACAGGGGACCAAGTCATCCATGTGGCCACAATATTGTGGATTGGTTGTGATCCTCGCCTTGAGAAACACTGGTTTGAATGGATTATGTTTCAGGGGCGGATCCAGATTTTTCTTTGTTTCCATGCTTTTCTCTGAAAGTCAGGATTCGAATCCCAAACTGGACGTTTGACTTTATTAGGAGAGCTAAATCCCAAATGTAACATGTTGTAAAAGACAATGTGTATTCACAGTCACCGAGTTTACGCTAGACTCCTGTGTGTGTGTGTGTGTTGTAGATGAACTCAACAGAACTGTGTTGGTGCTGCTGGGGATCTTCATAGCGGGCGCTGTTGCCGGCATGGTCAGGGCATGGTTCTTCGTCCTGGCAGGACAGAGACTCGTGGCCAGGCTTCGGAAGGATCTCTTTGGATCAGTTATCCAGCAAGAAGTTGCGTTTTTCGACCAAAACAGGTACATCAGTCTTCAGTTGTTATGTTTGTAAAAGTCAAGTGGTCGTCTTTTTTGGTAAATGAGTAAGTGAGTGAGTTTAGTTTTATGCGGCTTTTAGCAATATTCCAGCAATATCACGAAGGGGACACCAGAAATGGGCTTGACACATTGTACCCATGTGGGGAACCGAACCAGGGTCTTCATCGAAACGAGCGAACGCCTTAACTACTATGCTATCCCACCACCCTTTTTGTAAATGACATGTCTTTGTTTTATTATTTGTGATTGTTATTTTATTTCTTTAGATAAGGCAGTGAGATGTGCAGATTGTTTTGGTTTTTGTGAAATGTTGTTGCAGTTGTTGAAAGGATGTTTTGATAGAAATATTGTATTTAGTATATGTTTCTGTTATCGTGTCTACTGCTTATGCATAATGTTATTTTGTGATAGGAAGTCATCTCAAGTTGTTGTCAAAGTGCATGCTTACATCATTGTGTTTTGCAGTCAGTACCTAAATCTGGGTGGGTGGGGGTGTTTTGGATGGTTTTAAAGGGGGGGTCACCCATTTTGTTCTGGGGAGGTAGGGGGGTCACCAAGTTTGTAGAACATGTACTAGGCAGGGTCAGCAATTTTGTACATGTCAATATTAAAAAATTATGCTTAAATATTAGGGGAGGGGGGTGGGGCTTGGGTCATTGAATTTGTTCATTACATGCAGGGGGGTTCTTACTTTGTTCATAAGTTTTAGAGGGTGTCATTCACATTATACATGCTTTTCCATAAAAATCATCATCGCCCCTCCTAGTCATAAATTATGAATGGTCCCTAACAACTTCTGGTTTACTGCATTTAGTGATGGTTCATTTGGCTTCATTCAATTATGAGCTATTTGTTATCATTAACCCATGGTCATATACCTCTCACGGTGGTATCCTCTTTTGCCAGTAGGGCAAGTTGTTTATTTAAAGAGTAAGAGGATTATGAGGCATGGTCGACTGGGTTTGTTTGTTTAACTAATCCCACAAGGCCTTCACTAGTAGAGGGAATGATTTTGGTTCAGTTATTACACGGCTGTTCTCCATACATCTCCATGTTCCCCATACATCTCCATGTATGGAGGACCTGTGGAGATTCAGGGTAGAATAGGTCTTCAGCAACCCATGCTTGTCACAAAAGGGAACTATGCTTGTCATAAGAGGCGACTAACGGGATCGGGTGGTCAGGCTCGCTGACTTGGTTGACACATGTCATCGGTTCCCAATTGCACAGATCGATGCTCATGCTGTTGATCACTGGATTGTCTGGTCCAGACTCGATTATTTACAGACCGCCGCCATATGGTTGGAATATTGCTGAGTGCGGCGTAAAACTCAACTCACTCACTCCATGTAGGGAGAACAGCAATAATTAATAATGGTGTTTTACTGTAAGGTATATTAGGTGCCATGTTATGGCAAGTCTTCACTTTATCCCATGATGGCAAATGCTTTGGTAAACGTTCAGTTTGTTCCAAATGGTCGAGGTGGTAGACGTTTAGTGTATCAGGAATATAAGTTTCGAATTATGACTAGCAAGCGTGATACAACACATTGGAGATGTTGCTATCCTTCTTGTTGAGCAACGATTAACACCAGGGACAACTTGATCACAAGCTACAGAGACCACTTCCTTGTCGCCCTCAAGGATACAGTGAGAACAGACCACAGGCCCATACCAGCCATTTACACAAGTGACACAAGTCATTTGTGTATGCTGAACATTAAAATACAAATGATAGTCCACTTGTGTCTTTCTTGGCTTCGTCATCTCCTCAGTCATCCCCCACCCTCCCCCACCATTGTCTTGCTAATTAACATGGTCTGGTGATCCTCTTAATCCCTAAATAAACAACTTGCCCGACTGGCAAAAGAGGAACACCCCCCTCTCACCAACTGTTTTTGTTTTCCCCTCATCACTTGTTTGTTGTCACTTCAGGTTTTTAACAGTGTAAGATAACCATCAGAACCTAAGTGCAATAGACAGGTTGTTTTCCATAAAATTTTATATTTCCTTGTTTAATGGGCAAAGTCTAGAAAACCAGTCAAACAATTTACTTAAACAGTCTTTGAATCGAAGACTGTAGCCAAGTGCAAGTTGTTTTGTTTATCATTACCTTGTACTACCAAATATACAACATGCAAGAAATAATTGTTGTCTTTAAATGAATTTTGACCACACATTGCCTTAATACTATTTTAATAAGTTGGAAAATATTATTGGTTGTGGCAGAGACCATATACCGATATATGGTCTCTGGTTGTGGGCATTGTAACCATGGCAACATGCTGCTGATGTTTGGGGGCAGTAATACAATGTAGGACAAATATGTATTGTTAACATTTGTACTTCATCATGAACATGGCACATCATCTCAATCCTTGTCTGATTACAGAACTGGAGAGCTGTGTAATCGGCTGTCCTCTGACACTCAAGTGATCCAGAACTGCCTTACAGTGAGTACCTCAAGATATTTTTTAATTTAGGTCAAATTCTTTGTTTTGATTTACAGATTTTGATAGTGAAAATGGTTGTCTGTACGTCTCAAAAAAATAATGTAGTGGACAGGACATTTTATGTGTCTTAAGGTTTGATTTGGATGAGTAAGGTGACTCAACAAAGACTGTGATTTATTGTCAAAGTAATCTTCAACATCAGCAGTATACAAAGATCCTTGTCATCTCTGTTTGTTCTCCTGGGGGAGGTGGGGTAGCCTAGTGGTTAAAGTGTTGGCTCGTCACGCCGAAGACCCGGGTTCGATTCCCCACATGGGCACAATGTGTTAAGCCCATTTCTGGTGTCCCCCGCCGTGATATTGCTGGAATATTGCTAAAAGCGGCGTAAAACTAAACTCAGTCAGTCATTTGTTCTCCTGGATTTTCTAATTTTATGTTTAATGGATCTGAAAATGAATCAAATGAAGGATTTAGTCACTCTTGGGTCATATATAGTGGTGAGAGTAGCCCAGATGCTGCAGCTGATCTCTACACTACACTGATTAGTCCCATATGTCTGGACGGTGTGACCAAGTCATCTAAGATGCCACTGATGAATAGTTTTGTCACCATCCAGGCCAGACACCTCTGATGATGGATTTGATTCTGAGATTGGCCATACCCAATTTGTGGGTTCCACCAAAGTAGTTAACAATTGTGGTATTTCTCCCACTGGTTTAACACCTCGGGATATAACTGGAATTCGAAGGAATCTTCAGCCAAACAATTCCCATTTGCCATACATTACGACCTGTTACTCCTCAACATCTGGAGGGGCGGTGGGGGTAGCCTAGTGGTTTAAGCGTTGGCTCGTCACACCGAAGATCCGGGTTCGATTCCCCACTTGGGTACAATATGTGAAGCCCATTTCTGGTGTCCCCCGCCATGATATTGCTGGAATATTGCTAAAAGCGGCGTAAAAACCATACTCACTCACTCATTCACTCAGCATCTGGAATCTCACATAACATGATCCTTTGCAGTAACATAGCTGGCTCATTGCATTTTAAATTCAAACCTTTAAAAAAATGGTTTTAAATAATCCCTCATAATAATTTGAAACTTATTGACCTTGATCATATGATTATGGTGTATATTAAGCTGGTTCGTGTGATTCTATTTCAGGTTAATGTGTCCATGTTGTCGAGGTATTTGCTGCAGATCATTGGTTCACTGGCACTCATGTTTGTGTTGAACCCATCTCTGACCGGCGTCCTTCTGGCAGTGGTGCCGGTCGTGGCCATTGGCGCCGTCCAATATGGTATGGGCAGCTGAGGGAGTTGGGTGTCATGGTTCCTGGGTTGGGTAAAGATGGGCAAGGGTTGGTTGGGGCTGGGTGGCCAATGGATCGCTTAATCAATGAAAAAAGAGCATCTTTATTCTTGACATAAGACATTCTTTATCTTTATTCCTGAATAATAATTTATTACTCCAAAGTGGCTTAGATGTTGGTTAGAGATATTGCCACAATTCATATGCATGACATTGATGGTTTTGAAGACAATTGTGACATCATCATCACTGTGACATCACCATCAAATGACATCACTAACCTCTCTGCCAGTGAGGCGATGCACATGTTCTTTTCACACTCAAGGCTGTTATTACTGTTTACAAACTTTAAAAGTTGAATTTGAAACATTTAATTTAGATGATAAATAGAATGTGAATGCCATACCTTTTGATGTCAAATCTATCAACTTTTTGCAGTATAGTTTTGACATTCTTAATTAGAACATTTCTCAACCCTTGTTAAACTGTTTATATGTTTGATATCCATAGACGCTAGGGGTGAAGCACCTATCAAGGGAGTTAATATTGGCATTGTTTTGTCATGCAGGAAAGTACATGAAGAAGTTGCGGAAAGACTTCCAGGATCGGTTAGCGGATGCCGGAACTCAAGCCGAGGAGGCACTGTCCAGTCTACGCACTGTCCGGATGTTTGTTGGGGAGCGCAAGGCCATGGACGAGTATGGGGCTGAGATTGACAAGAGTTACAGAGTTGGCAGGAAGCTTGCTCTGGGTCAAGGTAGATGAAAAGATTCCAACATTAGAAGTTTACTTTTTCAAAATAAATATCCTTCCCTCAGGTCTACTCCTGATCAGATGCTCATGATATCAATCACTGGATTGTCTGGTCCAGACACGATTATTTGAAGACCACGTCATAGAGCTGGAATATTACTGAGTGTGGCATTTAACAACAAACAAACCATCGCTTTAGCCGTTTTGAGAACTTCGTCAGTTCCTGAAGATAGCACAAGGTCTCTTTGCGTTATGTGTCTGAATTTTTACTGAAGATAATATACTTGATTTTCTGTTCAATTGTGACATGGTTTCTGAATATACCACACTGTGCTGCAGGCACGTTTGAGGGGGTTATCGGTATAGTGGCCCAGTCTGCTGTTGTCACAGTGCTGTGGTACGGAGGGAAGCTGGTGTACGAGAACTCACTGGATGCTGCACAAGGAATAACTCCAGGCATCCTCACTTGTAAGTAAAACCCAGCAATGGTCAGGGTGGAGTATCTGTTCATCTGTTCAAGATGTTTCCGAAGCAGACATTGAAAACTGTACAATATTTCTAAGTTGGCACGTCAATAGGTCAAGTGGTGGACTATTACCTCTTGATGGCTTGTGATTTTTTATTGATTTTTTTGTAATGTTTAAACAAACTTAACCTGGAAACTATGGTAGTGCACATTTCTGAAGCAGGTCTTTAAACTTACTCCACAAGTACCATTACATTTGACCAGTGCCTCTTGATAGTTGTGATCTTCTTGTAAGATTTTTTCATGTTTCCATGGCAACAACTTAGGGTGGAAACTTTGGTAGTTTCCGGAGCAGATCTTGGAAATTACTCCACAACTACCATTACATTCGACATGCAGTCATTATAACTAGTTAACGTTTTCAAGACAAGTATTTACCATTGTAGTGGATATCAATGACTTAGTCCTCTTGTTTCTTTTGCAGCCTTCTTGTTGTACACACTGCAAGTTGCTATGGCGTTTGCACTGCTGTCCTCCTTGTATGGGGATTTCATGCAGGTGAGATGTTCATTATAATGAATGTTAATGTCCGTTGTTCATGGCTCCTGAGAGTTTCTATAGACTTGATCTTGCCCAACACTGAAGCACATGTAGCACGTTTAATGTCTCCTCAGGCAAGTGACCATGTTTGAAATATGCCTCTGTTCACTCAGCAGTGAATGGGTACCCGATGGGATGAGTTGTAAATCAAGAAATTTATGCATTGTTGATTTGAATATGTCACATTGTATATGCTTCGTCAATAAAGTGCGACCAGTAAAGGTCTGGGTTAGAATTGATCTTCAGTAACCCATACTTGTCGTAAAAGGCGACTAACGTGATCAGGTGGTCAGGCCCACCGACATGGTTGACACATGTCGTAATATAGCCAAATTGTGTAGATTATGCTTATGCTGCTGATCACTGGATTGTCTGGTCCAGACTCAATTATTTAGCTGGGATATTTGCTGAGTGCCTGTAAAACTAAACTCACTCACTCAGTCAATAACATGTACTACACAACTCTGATTGATGAATTATTTGCACAAATGGTCTACAAAATTCAGTTATGGTGACATAGTGTCATTGTTGTCCAGGCTGTTGGAGCTTCTGCAAGAATCTTCAAGCTGATGGATCGTAGTCCTGATGTTCCACTCGAAGGGGGAGTAGTGCCCTTGACCTTTGATGGAGGTGAGACACAGAGATGAGTCGTCTTAGATTGTAACTTTGAAGATATCGGATCCAATTTGAAAGTTTTGATCGGGCAATCAGATTCAAGTGTTGTCAGCAGTAGATATGAGATGTATTTCACAGTGTCTGGTTTTATATCACAAAAGTTTGTTATATTTATATTTTTGTTTACTTGTTGATCCTTGGTAGGAAATATGGTATATGACATGTGGGGTATTTTGTTTCAGAGGTTGAGTTTGATAATGTTCACTTCACATACCCATCCCGACCTGATACTGCAGTCCTCAAGGTAAGGAGATGACTTTGAAGACATTATTAGAAATAATTGATGGGGGATAGTGTTTAGCAGATTGACAGTTAAGACTTTCTAGATCTTTCTAGATCCCTGCACTGAAGCACATATGGCACGTGTGGTGCCTTATTCATCCTCGATAATCTCCAGGGTATACGTTCCCATAAATCTCCACTAGTACCCTGGATGCATCTATGGCTCGACCCAATGATTTATTACATCCCTTTGCTGGCTTTTTATCCAATCTGGTGTCTACTCTGGGAATCACAAGGCTTCTATCATAACTCACTCTCTCTTCTTTGATCTAACCGATTAAACTTGGTACTCTGAAAGAGGTAGAAGGAGTTCTACCATGTATTTTTAAGGTTTCAGACCTGTCAATTTGTCTGTATGATATTTTCCCTAAATCTAAGTCACACAGCAAGCAAACATTTGTGGCTGCGGACGCTATCTTTGTTGACACTGGCAAGTTCGGTTGTAACGGTGTATCTGATTGGCTACTATGAGAAGGCGGACCCAGCAAGGGAGGTGATAAAATTATCAGGCCGTAGATGCATCCAGGGTACTAGTGGAGATTTATCGGAATGTATACCCTGGAGATTGTCGGGAATGTGCCTTATTAGGCAAGTGACATTGTTTGAAATAACTGTGTTCAACCAGTAGTGAGTGGGTACCCGGTGGGATGAGATTGTCATGTGACTGTTAACATTGATACACCTCATTGACAAAATTGGTTATATAATCCCCAGGTAGAAGGGCATTAAACTCAAGAACACTTGCTATTTCCTCCTGAACGCCTCATACAATTGTGGCTCTTCAAGTGTACAATAATTGATGCCTATCCTTGTCTCCTCAATCAATAAGTTAAATCACTGATAAATTGTCATTGAACCAAACTGGGTATTTGTTTTCTATTGGATAAACTGGGGTGTGGTTACTGCAGCATAAAACTACATTCTTTCACATCCTAATGTTTTATCTAGTGATCTATCTCCACAGGAATTGTCATTCAAAGTTCATACTGGCCAGATGGTGGCACTAGTAGGACCATCAGGGGGAGGTAAATCTACCATCGTGAGTCTCATTGAGCGGTTCTATGATCCAGACAGTGGCAGAATCTTACTGGGTGAGTCTAAAAGCCTCCAGCACAATGATATAGTTCAGGACCCACTTGCACAGAGCAATCATAGTTACAATCAATCTCAGTATCAATCCTACAAGCAACATTACAATCACCATACAATTGCCCTAATCCACTTGCACAAAGCCGATCTTAGCGCGATTGTAAGACGGGATGGATTTAAGATCGCGATCTTAGGTAAGATGGTCTTCAACGGTGGAATTACGAATTTCTTAAACTCGACTCCTGTCTACAGTTGTCTGCTAGTGCGTACAGCATGCTGCGCAAATAAAACGTGGAACTGGTCACTGCAGACAGTACATACCTCCCTCAATCGCACCTTGCAGAATTTTCATGAAAAAAATCCCCAGAAATCTTTGAATGAAACGATTACGTTGAATTATTTCTACATTCAAACTGTCATGATATATGAACTAAGAGTGTAATATTGCAACCACAGAAATACCTACCCATGTTTTATGAAAATATTGAAATTATATATTTGGGTCTAGATTTAGTGACTAAATAATTATGAAAATTAAAGCATGAAATATAAATAATATTTTCTTATGATATAGCACCTAAATGTGTGATTTGCCAATGGTTGTCTATGAGACATCTGTTTGGTGGATTTTTTTTTGAGTAAAATCCCAAATATATCCCACAAGTATTGGTTTTTGTTACAATAAGAAAATGTGATGTGGCTGTGGGTGTGTTGTGGAAAAGGCATTACAGGGAAATTTGTCTCTTGTCCGACTGAATTTCAGATTTAAGAAAGAAAGAAACATGATTTTGCACGTCATCTAATTGTGGATTATTTGAATGATAAACTAAGACAAAATCAATGACACAAATGTGACCGAAAAGAAATATATGTGGAGCTCTGCGATGTCACAACATCAAATACATTGGGCATGGCAGACCCTACGGCAACGGCATGATATGCCAAGGGAAACCACTCCCATCTTGCATATAAACTAAGATTAGCTGCCCTTGAGTTGTTGTAAAGGTCACGACCATTGTTAATCGCCCGCAGACACCATTCGCTATTATCCTTTCCTTGATTATCAAAAAAGTATGTTGTTTCACACTTATTCTAAGATTGAATCGGTTGGGAATAGTACTTTGTGATATTGACTCGATAGTTATGTGGTTCACTACAGCAAATAACGCTAAATCAGTTGTGCATTCTCCGTGTTGTTGAAGTGTCGAGGCGGACCACACAGTTTTATGCAATATAAAAGCAATCTACAAACGTAAAGCTGATTATTTGCGTGAAACAGACACTAACTTGAACGCCATTTTGTCACAGACTACAATGATCTTAGCTCCTTACAATTGGTCCGGACCAATTGTAAGTTTTGATTGTAACTTACAATGATCTTAGCCTACAATTGCTTTGTGCAAGTGGATGGCAATTGTAGCCGAAGCCTAAGATCGCAGTCTTAAGGATTTACAATAATTGTAGCGCTAAGATTGTTCTGTGCAAGTGGGCCCAGATCAAGGAGTATTGGTCCTACACCGTGTTGACAGCAGAAGTGAAGAATGCCAACTGAAGTCACAATATAATTCCCTGTCATTCACTGGTCGGTCATCACTGTCTCATGGAGTCTGTGGATCGTTTCTGGTGTTGTTGACAACACAGGCTGGTTTGAGTTGTAGGCAGACTCTTCCAGACATGCATAAACACTGCTGCCCATCTCTTTCTGGTGGCAAAATATGAGGCATCGTCCCTAGTGTTGTACTCCTATCTTAATGAATGGCTTTTGGTGTTAAGCCATTTTCCTGCAAGATCTTGCTCACTACACAATCCTCAAGTTTGTCCACTACCTGAAGGTCACAGGCCACGATATATTTACTGATTTAGCGAAACAATTTGTTCAACTTACTTGGTCTTTATGGATACTTCTCAATATCTCTGTATTATGCCCACAACAAGAAAATTCCCTTTTATGTAATTCCTTCTGTATGAGGCTTAGAACTTCTCAATCAACACCTGTACTTTTCCCTCTTGTTTTCAAGTATGCCACAGACCTGAAATCAAATGTCAGCTGTATTCATCAATATAATGACCTTGTTCTAGGAGGGCATGATCTGAAGACCCTCGACCCGGCCTGGTGCCGCCACAAGATGGCGATGGTGAGCCAAGAGCCCACGCTGTTTGCCTCCTCCATCAGAGAAAACATCGCCTACGGTAAAGTAGCTACAGACACGGAGGTAAGTTCCATATTGGAATAATCATTGTCAGGTCTTCCATCCTCTAGGCAACAAGCTATCTTCGTTCCATTAAACCAAACATAAGACGGAATCCATTCTGCTCTATCTCCTGAACACAACAAAATATCCATCCATAACCTACCAAGAGACACACTCCGGCACAGCAATGACTTAACATAACATCACTGCCACAGGCTAATTTACATATCACGTGACCGGACTTTTCTCTTGTTTGTAATCACATACAAGATATTCATCGTCAGACTGGAGTCACAAAAGCATCGCCTCTTCATAATGTTTTACATTGTTACATATATATTCTTCCACAACTGCGACAGTAAGGCCTATGACAGTACATATTTAGATATCAAATTGGCTGCATCGTTTGCTCTCCATCAGCTTCGATGACAGCATGTGGAGCCGTACAACCTATGTAAACAAAGGATCGCTACGCAAATCGAAATAGTGTTACATGTTTTAGGATATTTTCTCAATGAAACTGACCATTCTATCAAAGATTTAATTAGTTGTGTAGACTTGTCTCATTAGAAATACTGGCTATCAGTTTACGGTGCAAGATCATAAATCGTCAAATCTGTGGCAGAGATACTAGGTACTCTTTGTCGGAGATGTAAGCATGACTGTCAGCAGTTTATTCAGTAATACATGAGCAAAAAATACAAGACCAAGATCTGAAAGATCATCAACATGCTTTTTCAAATACTCACTGGTTTTGAAGTGGTGGACCTGTTAATTCATGTCTCATTAGTCATGGATTATCAGTTTAACAAAACGACTATGATCATTCCGTGTAAATGTTGAGCTAAAAAATACAAGATAGTCTGAAAGAAATCCATATTTTTACATAACTGGTGGAGTGGCGGAAGGTCGCGGGTGTGTAGTGGTTCAATCGGAAGGTCCGCGTCAATACCATAAAAGACGTTAAAATATGGTACTTGTTGGTCCCTGCCTGGCGCGCGGCATTAATGGGTACAACAAGGACTGGTCGGCTCGGAGTCAGTATAATGTGTCTGAGTTGGGTATTCATGCTTCACTGCGGCATGGTATCTCAGTGGGCTAGCACTATAAAACCAGCATAGTCTGGGCTAGTACAAGCAGCCGCACATACACATACACACGCATGCACGTCGTCATATGAGCGAAATATTCTCAAGCACGACGAAAAACCCAATTTCACCTCACCTCACTAACGAAAACAGTGTTCTGGACACAATTTAGAAGTGACCCTTGATTAGATTTGTGACACAAATCATTTGTTTCATCACAGTAGTATATATAAGATGTTATTGATAACACATTTTTCATATCATTAAATATATCATGTTAATCATTAACTTTTCCCATTGAGGATATTTCTGATTATGGATCTTTTTAGCCAGCCGAAGAATTACACATCCAAAAATACATCAATATTGTAATCAAGGTAGAATGGAAATAATCTTCCTGTGTTTCGAAATTTGAGGTATTCTCACTGTAAACTGCAGGGCTGTTATGATTCAGTCACATATTCAGTAAATTGAACCATACCTCTCTCTATGAGTTTATTTCATTGTTTGCAATCACTAGAATTGAAAATTAATGAATTTTTTAAAAAGTGCTTATAAAATCTTGAATTTTTGGATGTTATCTCTTAAAGCAAGATGTGCAAAATGGAACATATCCAGGCCAGACAGGATAATAGCCATCCTCGATAATCTCCAGGGTATACGTTACGATCACTCTCCACTATACCCTGGACACATGCACGGCTTGGCCCGATAATTATATTACCTCCCTTTGCTGGCTCCGCATTCTCACAGTAGCCAATCAGCTAAGCCGCCGTTACATCCGAGCTTGCCAGTGTGAACAAAGATAGCGGTCGCAGTGGCGAAGGTTTGTTCGCAGTACTACTCAGATTTTTTGGGGAAATAATACAGACAAATTGACAGATGTGAAACTTTAAAAAAATCTATATAAAAGAACTCCTTCTACATCTTTCAGAGTACCTCTGCATCAATTGTGTTGCCAAGTATAAACGGTTAGATAATTTAAGAAGCGAAAGTGAGTTGTGATTGGTTCGCTCAACTTCCCAGCGTAGACACCTGATTGGATAAAAAGCCAGCCAAGGGAAGTAATAAAATCATCGGGCCAAGCCGTGGATGCGTCCAGGGTATAGTGGAGAGTGATCGTAACGTATACCCTGGAGATTATCGAGGATGGATAATAGCCAACACTGTTATATTCAGTTTGACAGTAATGTGGACACTACTCACTGTCAAGATAAATTAAACTTGTCAGATACACATTATACCCATGTGGGGAATGTAACCTGGGTCTTCCATGTGTCAAATGAATGACTTAACCACTAGGCTACCCCACGGCCTTCTAGATTAGAACAGACCCGTGAAGGTCCGGGTTAGAATATTGTTCTTCAGTAACCCATGCTTGTCATAAGAGGCGACTAATGGGATCGGGTGGTCAGGCTCGCTGACTTGGTTGACCACATGTCATCAGTTCCCAGATCGATGCTTATGCTGTTGATTACTGGATTGTCTGGTCCAGACTCGATTATTCACAGACCGCCACCATATATTATTATTTTGTGAGTTTTTGTACTTGGGCCTATGGCCTTTATACGGAATAAAAAGTTTGACCACCACCATATGGGTGGAATATTGCTGGGTGCGGCGTAAAACGTAACTCACTCACTCACTCACTCCACTATCATAATATACTGAAAAAACAACAACAAAGGAACACAGGAAAATTCAAGCTTTCCTTTAATATTTTCCCTATTGGTTGACCACATGTCATCAGTTCCCAATTGTGTAGGCCGATGCTCATGCTGTTGATCACTGGATTTTCTGGTTCAGACTCAATTTTTTACAGACCGCCGCCATATAGCTGGAATATTGCTGGGTGCTGCGTAAAACTAAACTCACTGACTCACTGACTCTCTCTCTCACTCACTCACTCACTCACTCACTCACTCACTCACTCACTCACTCACTCACTCACTCACTAGATTAGAACAAGAGCATCTGAATCGTTAACCTGATGTGTGTTGATTCCAGGTTGAAGATGCGGCCAAGCAGGCAAATGCTCATGAGTTCATCATGTCATTTGAAGACGGCTACTCTACCAAGGTGGGGGAGAGGGGGGTGAGGCTGTCTGGGGGCCAGAAACAGAGGATAGCCATCGCTAGAGCCCTCATCATGGACCCGGTCATCCTGCTGCTGGATGAGGTCAGGACGGCTCCACATTATACATTACACTCTTCCCTTATATAAACATTTCACTGGCTTTGTATAATAATGGCATAGATGAATGCTCATGATATCACTCACTTGATTGTCTGGTCCAGACTCGATTATTTACAGAACAACATACAGCTAAAACATTGAGAGGGGTGTTAAGCAACAGGTAACAAATCATCTTTATCATGCAGGTAATTTCATCATATTTGTTTCGTCTCTGTACATGTGTATCATCTTCCAGGCCACTAGTGCTCTAGACGCCGAGAGTGAACACCTTGTCCAGGAGGCCATAGACCGCGCCATGAAGGGAAGAACGGTCATCGTCATCGCTCACAGACTCTCAACTGTCAGGAATGCCACACAGGTATGTCATTCTTCAGTCAATGTTTGCAAGCATCTTGGAAATATCTACCAGGGTTTTACGTGATGAACAAATTTGCCCCCAATGAAGAGAATGGATGCCGAAAACCTGATGTATCGCACACAAATATACCAAGAACGTACCTACAGCGTACCAAGAGTAGTTATCTGTGTTTGTTATTTCACCCATCAGTCATGACCATTGTCCACATGACCACCGATCCATTCCAGGTTCTGAAGTAATTATCTGATCATACAGTACACCAGATGTACCCTCACTGCGCGCCCACTTTTCTTAAAACATCAAAATGCAGTCAGCCGTAGAACAATAGGGGGATTAGTTATAGTTTGTTTCAAGTTAAGTCTGGTGACACTGTGACCACAAGTCATATTGGTGGGCACATTTCAGAACAAACTGGTGAACACGAATCCCCACTTCATGATTCATCATCATTGCTAATGCTGAAGTTGAAGTTGACGTTCAGTACATTGATAATGCACAGGGTGGACAAAATTTGATTAGTTTAGAGCTATGAACCAAAAAGAATATTAGAGTCTACTGGAGACGCTGTGTCAAAGAGTGCCGAGCGACACTGAATATGAAGGAAGGACTTATCACTAAGTACAACAACATTCATAACCACGAGGTCGATCCAAACAGACATTCTGTTGACAAGTTCTTTGTTAATAAACACTTGTATGTTAATAAATTATTATTTCAAACTCATTACACTTATGTCTTGCTGAGTTAATTCCAGTTACGTACTAGTTTATGAATTAAGTATGTAGTTTATGACTGCCCAAAGAGTTAAGTAGACTATACTATATATCACTGCCCACTAGCCTGATACAGACTATACCCTAATCTCTCTGTTTTAACACTGCCCATTTCCAAAAGAGGGCACAGTGGGAGTAAACCGTACACCATACCGTTACAGAAGAAGAAGAAAATTATTTTATTTTCGTGTCACGCACTGTTACAATACTTTACAAGATGCTCACATTACCGGCAAGGACCTGTAAAATTCATTGATGGAGGTCCTGGGACCCCCACTTTTGTAGTCAAGGTAACACCCTGATCCAACTCTTGCTATAGACAGCGTTCCTGTGTTCCTGTACACCTTCTGGAGTGTTCCTCTGTTCCAGGTGGTTGTTATTGACAAAGGGCACATAGCTGAGCGAGGGACTCATGACGAACTCCTGGAGAAAGATGGAGTTTACAAGCGTCTTGTCCTGCGTCAGCTTATGGCAGGCGATATGCCTGGACAAGCTCCAGAGACTGATGAACAGAGCGAGTCGAACAACGCGACTGATGGCAAGTCAGGGACAGATGTACCAGTTTTATTGTAGACATTGGTCAGTGCTTCGCTAGGTTTATGTATTGCAAATTATTCATTTATCTGTGAATATGTAAGTCCGCTTTTGGTGCAACGAAATGAGGCCTTGTAAAACTATGAGCTTTTGTGAATCCAACAGTGGATTGATATTGAACTGATATGTGAATTATGTCACTGCAAGGTTTCAGCAAATTTTGCAAGGGTAATATTTATAAGTGTGAATCTGAAGCTATGGCTTGATGTGCTGTTTTAAAATAGCACCTACAATGCAAAGGAAAATGGCTTATATAAATCTGTGAAGTGTTGAGGCTGTGAACAAGGTCACCTTTGACTGTGATATTATGTAATGTTGGACTTAGATATTGTTGACAACACTGACTAGGTTGTGTTATCATGTTGACAGATACAGGATATATTTTTAGATTCTGTCATATTTGTCACTGGTGAAGACATGAAAGATGTGTTAGAGAGTTATTTTTCTACACTCACCCCATTTCAGTCCCATGTGCAATAAATTTTCATCCATTTTGTCCATTGTGACTGATTAGACCTACAATGCACCATTGTTTCCCAACATCACATTTTGTTTCCGATTTCTATTTCTATTGATTTTATGTCTTTCAAGTGAAGCCATGATTTTGTTCTAACGGCAAATCTTGTGTACGGTGAATATATAACATGCTTGCAACATGAGCCGAAGGTTTAGGAAGCAAGATACTATTACTCGTACAACTAATTATGGATATTGAATATGAAGTGACTTCTGTTGGAAATCTAAAGATTGTATTGTGTGATGACTACCAAATTACAGCATTTTTTTACTACCAAAAACACAAACAAAACCAAATAACAGCCTTTATGGCTGTGTTGTTCACTTAATAGAGGAAGTATTCTTTGAATTATTTTCAATGATACCGTAACTATTGTTTGTTTATTATATCATGAGAATGAACAATTATTGTTCAATAAACATGGTAATCATCTGGGAAGAAGAAACTCCTGGTCCAGATTAACAGGGGTTAATTTTTCTCCTCTTGACTGGGGAGCAGATTGGTCCATATGCATTATCATGATGTCCACTGTGATAAGGATTTGTCAGTGCTGTGTTTAGCGTGTGCGTGCATGTCTGTGTGAGTATTGGATTTTACACAGACACTAGCCTCAAGGGCACATTGTTTGATGGTTGTTAGGATATATACATACATTTGTAAATATAGTGTATTTGCTCAAAATTATTGTATGACTGGCATAAATGAGTGTATCCATGGGATTAAATTATGTATTCTTCACCAATGTCAGATGTAGATTACACTAAAATGCTTAACTTGTCAGTTGGTTATATGTGTGTCCTTGTTAATCTACATAACAAATAATGTTGTTTATATTTTTTTTGAAAGTATTTATTATGATTATGACATATTAGGCTGGTTAATATCATTGCACAGACTCATGTTCATTATTTCTGTTTCTGAACAGATCTTTCTTCAGCCATGTCACTAGGGATGGTTTAGAGTAAGTACACTTTATCTGCAGATATTTACAAAATTTAAGTGACCTTGGGAAAACTAGGCTGATTCTTGTACAAATAACATGATATTCTTACTTGCTGGAGTGTGGTTTAGTTTTATAACAATTCAAAGAATTCCCTTCTGTAGCAATTTAAAAAGGTTTATTTTCTTATTTTTGAAATAATTTATCGAAGTATAATTTGGGTCACTAGGTAAACTATATGATTATCCTTTTGATATTACGGGACTGTTTTCCCTATTTTTAATCATCAGGTGTCGAACCAATATAAAACAAATGCAGGCCAGGCCAAATACATTGACATGATTGATCATACATCCTCCTGTGTTTTACATTGTTATAGTCAGGCAACTTCAAGGGTGGAAATAACTTTAAAATTGCTAGTGTACTCCGGTACAGTGGCACACGTAAAATCACTTGTCCTGATAATTTTTCCACTATACCGTCCGTTTTCTTGTTGATTTTTTAAATAAACAACATAATTAACATTGGAAAGTCAACTGGACACCGGTACAGTGTGATATACAATATGCTTGCCCGACAGAAAAAAACATTGGACTCGGACGTCGGGCAATGGGTTATTTCCACCCCTGAACTTTCAAGATGGTTTTTCATGTGATAATGATAAAGGCATTATTCCAGACAAAACGAAATGGCTGTTTATCTGATCTCCATGTGAACTCAAGTTGCACATGGTGTGTATTAAAATATCAAGCAGTAAAATTTTGGATCACTACTGCTATATAAATAATGGAGCATGTTTATGAAAAAGGAATTGAGCACCTGTTTATGTTAGGAAAAATCATTTTGAGCTCCCAAATATCAAGAAAGGAATGCTGATCTCAAACCAAACTTCCCTGACAATCACCTTAGAGTCAAATGGCTGCTTCATTAAGGGGAGGTGGGGTAGCCTCGTGGTTAAAGCGTTCGCTCATCACGTCAAAGACCCAGGTTCGATTCCCAAAATGGGTAAAATGTGTGAAGCCCATTTGTGGTGTCCCCTGCCGTGATATTGCTGGAATATTGCTAAAAGCGACGTAAAGCCCAACTCACTCACTTCATTAAATCGTCATTGGTTGTTATCATATGATAACCAAGGTAATTTATTCATGTTGTCTTCTGCTATGATTTCCATGTGTTTTGTGAACCATACAAACTTGTCATATTTCAACATATTAATGCTGAGATCCATACAGTTCCCAAGGGTCCACGCTGAAAAAAGGTTACTGTACTTAATTTAACTTACCGGTAACTAGCCTTTAACTGATTACTTTTTAATATAATTTGATTGAACAAGATGGGCATAAGTCTTTTATATTATGTGTCCCAGTCCACCCAGCTGTGAATGGGTATCTCATAAGGATGGGAAAGCCGCAGTAACTAGTGGCAGCAAGAGTTGTATGTTCCCCAGGGAGCTGAGATTGATAAGATGTGCCGTTGAGATTGACATCCAATGATTGAGGGAAATATACCAGCACCTTTAGCATGTACTAGTGCGTGGATATGTGCGCTATATAAATATCCAATAATAAATAATTATAAATAAATGTATTGCTCGTTGAATTTCGATCTCAAAAGGTTTGGGAGGCATGATGTTGAATTTAATGTATATTTGTCTCAGCATGACATGATACTAACTTTATTTGACCAAACGTTTAATATGTAATTCAAGCTTTTGAACAAAATACCAAATGTACAATCAGGGAAGAAATAAACATGTGTTGCATATTGTTCGTGTGTTATTTAAGTCCACAAGATGTAGAAATTACATAATGATGAATAGCTGTGGACTCATGACAACAGCTGCCGAACTGTGGTTTGCCAGCTGTTGACTACTGTGGTTTGCCATACATGTTGACTATGCCTCTATGTTATTGCCTAACTATGAAACTTCACGTTATTGCCTAACTGTGAAACTTCACGTTATTGCCTAACTATGAAACTTTACGTTATTGCCTAACTATGAACTTATACATGTTATTGCCTAACTATGAAACTTCACGTTATTGCCTAACTATGAAACTTCACGTTATTGCCTAACTATGCCTAACTATGAAAACTTATTGCTTTTACGTTATGTTATTGCCTAACTATGAACTTATACATGTTATTGCCTAACTATGCACCTATAGGTGTTGTGAGGAATCCATATCAGATTCACTAGTTTTACTGCCTAACATTACTGTCATTTTACACCCAAGAATATCTCCACAGTTCTGACCCATATATAAATATTGCTCAGTACAAAATGTTTGTACCTAATGTCACTTAACCATCAAAATCAACTATAATGTTACACAAACTTTGTGCAGAGATATCTGTTGATGGACAGTTAACAGGCGAATATCATATCTCTTCTCCAGTACTGCTCAAGGTCATGCATCCTCGATTATCTCCAGGGTATACATTACGATCACTCTCCCCTATACCCTGGATGCATCCACGACTTGGCCCGATGATTTTATTACCTCCCTTGGCTGGCTTTTTATCCAATCAGGTGTCTACGCTGGGAAGTTGAGCGAACCAATCACAACTCACTTTCGCTTCTTAAATTGTCTAGCGGTTTAAACTTGGCAACACAATTGATGCAGAGGTACTCTGAAAGAGGTAGAAGGAGTTCTTTTACATATCTTTTGATAGTTTCAGATCTGTAAATTTGTCTATTATTTCCTAAAAAATCTGAGTGGCATTGCGTACAAACCTTCGCGACTGCGACCGCTATCTTTGTTGACACTGGCAAGCTCGATCGGATGTAACGGCGGATTAGCTGATTGGCTACTGTGAGAATGCGGAGCCAGCAAAGGGAGGTAATATAATTATCGGGCCAAGCCATTGATGCATCCAGGGTATAGTGGAGAGTGATCGTAACGTATACCCTGGAGATTATCGAGGATGAAGGTCTTGTAGCCGACAGAATAAGCTGAAATGTCATCAGTGCCTGTGTTTCCCTGCCTGTTTCGGTCTTTAGATGTGGACCACTTGGTCTAATGGATAGTGTGTCTGCTCAGGTCAGAGGTTCCATCCCCAGCTGCATCATTCCAAAACATGGAACTTCTTGATACCCTGCCTGGTGCTCAGCATTAATGGCTTATACCCGTGAAGGTCTGGGTTAGAATACTGATCTTCAGTAACCCATGCTTGTCTTGAGAGGCGACTAACAGGATCAGGTGGTCAGGCTCGCTGACTTGGTTGACATATGTCATCGGTTCCCAATTGCGCAGATCGATGCTCATGCTGTTGATCACTGGATTGTCTGGTCCAGACTCGATTATTTACAGACCACCGCCATATAGCTGGAATATTGCTGATTGCAGCGTAAAACTAAACTCACTCACTCACTCATTAATGGGTTAAAACCAGGACTGGTCGCCTCAGAGTCAGTAAAACTGCTGCATGGTTACTCAGGGGAGTAGCACCATAATACTGCGATGCCAATCCTATGTAAGTGCAATAATCTTGAATAATCTGTCAGGTGTATTGTTGACATAGCATATACATTAAGTCTCATAATGATTGGGCTACCCCAGTAGCCTGATGGTTAAAGCATCCGCTCGTCACGCTGAAGACCAAGGTTCGATTCCCCACATAGGTACAATGTGTAAAACCCATTTCTGGTGTCCCCAGCCATGATATTGCTGGAATATTGCTAAAGTCGGTGTAAAACCATACTCGCTCACTCATAATAATTGGTACAAACATGTCTGATGCAAATTCAACAAGTGTTTGCCACTGATGTGGCAATGTCCCCCGGCGCTAAAGCAATGGAATATCTATATTTACTACTTTTTATTTTTGGGTCACATACAAGATGCCTGAAATGACTGGTGTCTGCATAATCACCCAATGTAGGCTGTCAACATACTTGAAACATTGGGTGCAATGTTTTATGAGATATCGCCTTTAAAAAGCGGTCAAAGTAGCGTGGTGACCTTGAAGATAAGGTCAAGGTCACCCAAATAAACTGGTGTCTGTGTAATACCCCAATGTAAACTGTCACCCAATTTGAAGACATTGGGTACAACAGTCCATGAGATATCGCGTTAACAAGAGTTACAAGTCTGAAAAGTGTCATGGTGACCTTGAAAATAAGGTCAAGGTCAACTAAATAAACTGGTGTCTGCGTAATCCGCGTTGCGGCGGGGGACAACAATGCTTGAAATGCAAATCCTTCTCTGGACAAGGGAGGTAACCATTGTATAGAGAAATGATCCCTTAGCTGCAAACA